GAATGGCATTCAAGGTGCCCCTCCCCTGGGTCATCTCCAGTCCAACTACCCGGGCCACACCCATCCCTACCCAGATCTCCAAGGTTGACATCCTCACTGCAACCACTCAGCGAGTCCCTACCTTTGGCTCTCTAAATTCACCTCTCCCTCAATGCCCAGCCCCAGCTCCCATGGGCTCCTCCCCGGGTCCCCAGAGAAAGTTCCACCCAGGCCTGTCCTTGATTGGATGGTGTCCTGAATTATTCTCCCTGCACTGCAGGTACTGACTGCCCCTCAAAGGAGACTTTCACAGACCAGCCAACTGGCCACCACTATCTCCAGCTTCCCGTCTAACAGTGGGAGAGAGGCAGGTAGTTCCAACCCTCTGTGCTGCCCACAGCCAGGATGGTGGGTGATAACCATGGGCTGGCACTTCCTTCCTACCCTGCCCATTTCCAGCAGCAATCAAGTGGAAGCCAGTTTGCAAGCTGCTAATATAGAGTGACTCATGCCTTCAGGGATGTTCTCAGAGCCCCCTCCCCACACTCCAGGTCCCACATGCTGCATACGATCCAAACTCTGGCTTCAAACCTAATTGCCTTCCTGGGGGACCCAACAGCTCTTCCTCACTCAGGTCTCTGCAATCTGCATGTCCAGTTTTTAAACAAAGCTGTTTAAAATCTCCTAGGAATAAGACAAGTGGAAAATTGCAAGCGTTGACCTCTACCTTTCTCTAAAACAAAACACGTCATTCTGTATGTTCACACACCCCTAAACATACACCCCCATTCAAACCCAGCCCATCACCCTGCCCCTCTGAGCCCTTCTATAGGATTTGGCCCAAGTGGGGACTGGGGACTTGCTGAGACAGTGTCTACTCCCTCTGTCCCTGGCACCACCACCCCTAGGGCTTATTGGAATGTCAGGCGCCTAAGCCTCAGTCTCCTCTTCTATGGCAGGTGGCCAAGTGAAAGGGCTTAGAACGCCGGCTTCTCTGATACTGTGTTTGAGTTTTACAATCCCTCTAAGGAG